AGGCAGCAATCCACAACCTGATCAACATTGGGGAAATCCCGTATATGTGGGGTGAGAACATTGTTCTTACCTGTGACCAACTGGAGCCCAATATGCCGGTCACTAAGCACACTTTATTTTATTGTCACTATTTCACGCCTTTCAAGAAAACGTTGCTGGATATCTACAGTCTGTTAGTTCAAAAAAGAGTTTTGGCCTCTATCAGAAAGGATGACGAAGCAATTGATCCCGTTGGAATTGAGATCCGGAAGCCCTGCCCTTATCATGATGCCATCGATCACAACATTGGGAGGTGTCTCAGGTTTCGTTATGACGTGGAATCCCTCGTCAACATGAGAAAGATTCAAGTTGAGTTCGTCCCCCGTGGCTAATACGGCAGTCAGAGGAAGAAGTTTCGGTGAAGGCACTATCTATCTTTTAAGAGCTTTATTTTTTGTTTTTCACTTTCCTTGTAATCACCAGAAATGCATGAATGAAAATGAAAATTTCCTTTGTATTCGAACTACGTAGGGCCAGAATTCTCCTTCGGAGATATGTAGGCAGCCTTTCAAGGCCCAGCCCCTATTTTTTTCAAATTTTCTTTTCCCCCTCTTTCATTCTATAAGGAAACATTGAATTCACATCAACAGATTCGAGAGATGCAGCAAGAAGACCTTAGCTCAATGCAATTTAACCTTTCTGAGACACCAACCTCAATATAAAAACAAGCAAATTCCTGCTTGTTCAAAAATCAATCCCCATTACTCGTGGGTTTACGTGTCCTCAAACGAAATAACTTTTATGTGTTTATTTGCTTTCTATGTGATATCTTGCATTATTCATCCAGAACTAATACTGACAGATTTGCCTTTGAGTTATTTTTCTCTACAGGTAGTTAGAACTGATCTGTGTTGACACACTGACCGATCATCCTTATTTCACTAGATCTAAAGGTCCTACAGATTCCTTCCCTAGTCAAAGTTGACAAAAGGGAAAGCAACAATGGGTGATAACAACGAAGAAACCAGCCTTACTGATGTCGTAGTGGCTCAGCCCGCCCTTGCTGATCAGAATGAACTGATCCTGCAGTTGCTGCAACAAATTGCTGAGATGAGGGTCGAGATGCAGAGAAAACAAGATTTGCCTCCGCCGATTTTTGTTGTCAACGCTCAACCAGACGGAAGACCTCCAGCTCAAATTTCTCCTCCTAACGTGGAACAAGCTCAAAACCTGCCTTCAAGTCCCGCTCGTAATCCCTCTATCATTGACCTTAACACCCAAAACCCTCATTACGCCTCAACCTCTTATCAAACACGACCCCCTCCTCAAAATACCAACCTCCAAGCACCATTCCCTCCCCCTAATGCAAACCACCAAACTGGCCTACCCCCCACAGCCAAAACGCTAATAACCCACGCACTTCCCTCCTTCACCAAAACCAGTACACCAACCCCCAGACTTTCCCCCAAAACTACCACGTCCCTTTAGGCCAAAGTCCATCCATTGCTCCACCACTACCGCAAAAAGCCACTTTCCAAATACCAGTCCCCAACGAGCATAACGCCCATGGTTCAGAGCTCGACCACTATGAAGAGATGGAGAGAGAGTGGAGGTCAAAGGAAGAGACCACCAAGATAGATACGAAGGAGGAAATTAGAAAAGCCATGAAGGAGTTGAACTGCATTCCTGAGGTCACCGGGTTGAGTTACGAAGACCTGCGCATTCATCCGAATTTGGACCTCCCGGAAGAGTTCAAGGTGCCAAAATTTGACATATTCGGAGGAACGGTGAACCCCTTAGCACACCTGAGGGCCTACTGTGACCAACTCGTGGGAGTTGGGAGAGACAAAACTTTGTTAATGCGGCTTTTTAGTGGGAGTCTGAGCGGAGAGGCTCTAGAATGGTTTATGTTTCATGAAATGAGACAGTGGTCTAGCTGGAACGCTCTGGCTAAGGACTTCATTGAACGATTCGCTTACAATGTGAAGATCGTTCCTGATCATTACCCATTGGAGAAGTTGAAGCAAAAGTCGACCGAAAGTTATAGAGAATTCGCATATAGATGGCGAAAGGAGGCAACTAGAGTTAGACCTCCCATGTCAGAAAAGGAAATTGTCGAAGTGTTTGTGCGGGTGCAAGAGCCCGAATATTATGACAGAATCATATTGCTCGTTGGAACAAAATTTGCTGAGATAGTCAAGGTGGGTGAGACTATCGAAGATAGATTGAAAACCGGGAAGATTGCCCGTGTTGCTGCCTCTCCTGGATCTTCGGGCTTGTTGAAGAAGAAATGAGAGGATGTGTCCTCTATCTCTTATGAAGGGAAGAATACCCCAAGGAAATCCTCACCATACCAAGGTCGTTCTCGACCTTCACAGAGTTAATACCCGGCTTGTTATGCGCAGGCTGATTACCAAAATATCCCCCCTACCAGTTATCAAAATACTATCTCTCCTAATTACCAAACTCTCCCTAATATCTACCAAACTCCCTCTCCAGTTTACCAGACTCCATCTCATCACTACCGAAAAGCCGCCCCCAATTGTGCCAACGTTCAGACGAATTACCAAACGCCTCCCCCAATGTACCAAACTCCAGCTCTTCTTTACCAAAATACCCCCTCGAACTAGCATGCTCCACAACCAAATTATCAAACCAACTCATATCCCAGATATCTAGCCCCCGTCTGTATGCTCCAAATTATCGCCAAACGTCTCCCTCTCAACAAGGCAATTACGATCCCTCCCGTCCTAGATTTGAGAAGAAGCCTGCTAGAATTTTCACTCCGCTTATTGAAAGCCGAACAAAGTTGTTCGAGCGATTAGTAGTGTAATAAATATTAGAATATAATAAATTTTGTTATATTATTCATAACTCTTACTTACTGATTCTCATTTTCGTGTTTGCATGTGAAATTTGTTCGGGTCCTCACGGACTCTATCCTCGCATTTTTCTTTGGGCCACGGAGGCCCATATCCCCTTTTATCCGAGTTAGGAAGATATTAAAATCGTCGAACAGGTCTCGAAATTGAAAGAAAAGCGGAGCAAATCGGGAGTTGAAAAAGATTGGGCCAAAGCCTACCTTTATTTATTCGGAATTATATTTTGTTATTATTGGGCCTAAGCCCTTGTCATTTTACTTACTATTACTTGTTAGTTCCTAGGACAGGTGGAGAAATTGGGCTTAAGGTCCAAAAGAAAGATATTTATTTCATGTTAGACTAGGACAGGTGCAGGTGACTCAAATGGGCCAAAAGCCCAAAACAAAAGTGGGCCCAAATACTGGCCCAGGCGGACTGAAAAACCAAATTTGGGCCCAAATCTCTTTCCCTCCCATCTTTGTTGTGTTTATGTGCTCGTTAATATTTTCCACTAACCTTAAGGTCGAAAAATTCAAATCCCCGAAATAAATAAATATTTTGAGTCTGTTTGAATTAATCACTTAACCTAGTTATTCATATTTACTTGACATAAAAATAAATAAATAAATGAATAAGCTTACAAAACATTTCACTTAGGGTCTGTTTGAAAGGACACAATGGAGTTGGGAATTGGTGTAATTACTCTCTTTGTCCTGTTTGGTAGACCAAGTAATTACATGGTAAAAGGGGAATTGAGTGTAATTGAAGGGGTGTAATTACACTCCTCAATTCCTTGGGGAGGGTAAGGAATTGAGTGTAATTACACCATGTAATTACATGAATTTTTTAATATTATCTTTTTAAATATATTTTTATTTGAAACACCAAAAGGTCACTTCTTTCTTTTTGTCTGGACATTTCCATTTCTTTCAACGGGACAAAAACAAACCTTGTGCATCTTCTTTCAAAGTAAGACTTCTTTCTAATTCATTTTACTTTTCAAATTTTGATGTCTAGGTAGATTATGTATGAGTTTGATCTTTGTATTTTCTCCTATTAGTTCTTGAGATTAAAATAAATATGAGAATTAATTTTTTTTCTTTAATTTTTTATAATAAATTGGAACTGGGTTTGGTGTCTAAAGTCAAATCAGGCCTTATTTAATTGGAGATTGATTGAGTTCATGATTTGTGCCAATATTTGTTGAATATTTTTATGGTTGTTTTCACTGTTTGTTTCTATTGAGATTGGGCTGCGTATTTACTCGTAGGCTCTGGGTATTAAGTTGATGAAGAGGCACATGATATTATAGAAATACTAAAGATAAGAACTGCATATTTACTTTATTTTTATGATTGGTTCTGATCGGTGAATGTCAGTTGGTATGGGTGGAAATCTTGTTGATTTGGTTGGTGTTTATGTTATTATCTGTGCAATTGTTGGTGTATTAGCGAGTTGGTACAAGAGTGACTGAGAACTGTAATTTGACGACTTCAGGTTGTGAAGTTTGCATCAATCGATACACCTCTGCTCTTGGTTTCTTTCCATTTACACTCTGTGTATTTAAAATTGTATATTAGTACATTGTTACAGTACATAATATTATCACTGGTAGCTATAGTAAGTAGCAAAACAAAATATCAACTCCTAGTTAGCCTACCAAACAAACTTTAAATGGGTTAACAGTTCAGGTTTGCTGTCCTCGTTGCTAGCTTGGGCTTGAAACTGGCCTTGTACATCACTTCCTGGATGATGCGTCAAATCAAAATAATTTTCGATTCCTCTCTTGCCACACTTGATATATGTGATTAGTCATAGTCATTCGGTAAATGTGAGCATGATGTAAATTACTCCTCATGTTATTCCAAGAACAATCAAGTTCACCTTGCTAAATTAACATCAAAGCCTACTTTAGTGAAGTACTTTTTTGCTTGAAATTTTTAATATTTTCATTTATGTAGGATGACAACTAACCAAACACCTAAGGTTGGAAAACCATACACCAAATGGAGTGAAGTTCAAGATGAACATTTCATTTACTTTATTGCTGAACAAGTTAAGTTAGGAAGAACGCAACCAGGAGGCTTAACCACTGAAGGATGAGATAGTGTAGAAAAAGAAATGAACAAGCTATATGGGGACAAATTAGATAAGACTAAAATGAAAAATAGGATGAGGACTTTGAAGAAGATATATGCTACTATGAAGAGAATGTCACAGCATAGTGGATTTGGGTGGAATGAAGAAACTCGAAAAGTTGATGTTGAAGATGATGTCTGGGAGCAATACCTTGCAGTGAGTTAAATTTATGTTATTTATTTTCTGATTTAAGACTATTGATAATATAATAGGCACACCCAAAAGATTCTAAGTATAGGACGAAGACGTTGCCAGACTATAATACTTTGGCATTAATTTTTGGAGATACTGTCGCTGATGGTAGCAATGGGTGTGAAATTAATGATGTCGAGGATTTTCAAAGTGAATTCACCGATGATGATATAACTGCTGAAAAAGTTACCATACATGCTGAAGATACACAATTTGTTGACCAGGATGATGGATATTTTGTTCAGAACATGAACTTTACTAGTCCTGAAATAACTCAATCATCTAATCAAGAAAAGAGAGCAGGAAAAAGGCATTTAGATGAGCAACCAACTTTGACATCATGTCCAAAGAGAATTAAGAATTCTATTAGAAATAGCTTGGCAAAATCTGTTGATCGATGGACAGCAATAGCTGAAGAACAAATAAGGCTACAACATGAACCAAAAAACTTCCGCTGAAAAATTAATGCCTTTGATATTGGAATTAGACTTGGATGATATATGGACTATGCAAACTGTTGACCTCCTTGTAGATAAGAGAAATGCTGAATTTTTTGTTGCTATGCCTCCAGAGCTTAGAAAGAAATAGGTCATGCGCAAACTTGGTTTATATTGAGTGATGTCGTTTAAAAGCATATTTTGTTGTTCGAATGACGTTTTGGGCTGGTATCTTATTTACTTCTAGATTATCTATTCTAGAATTAATCCCAAGACTTATCTTATGTTTTGTTAAGATTGTATATGATATTATCTCCTCTTTGTTTTGAAATTACGTTACTTATCTTATGTTTTGTTAAGATTGTATATGATATTATCTCTTCTCTTCTAGATTATCTATTCTAGAATTAATTCATTTACTTGTCAGATAGGATGGCAAAGGATGATCATGTCATGGTGTTTCTGGCAAAATGTGTACTTTTAATTAGTATCATTGCAAGTTATTTTGGTGTTGGATCCAAAAAAAGAGTGCACGGATCAATTTTAACTGGAGCAGATTTTATTAAATATTTGATTGAAGGACATCCTCGTGGATGCTATGACCTATTACGTATGAATGTTGGATGTTTCTTGCAATTTGCAGATGAGATGAAAACAAGAGGTCTATTAACTGATTCAAGAATGGTTAGAGTTGAAGAACAACTGGCTATATTTTTATTTACGTTAGCTCATAATGAAAGGAATAGAGTTGTGCAAAATCGTTTTCAACATTCAGGAGAAACAATTAGTCGTTATTTTAACAAGTGCTTGAAAGCTTGTCTCCGATTAGGGAAATACTATGTGAAACAGGCAGGAAAAGATATCTCGCATGAAATATCCTTTAATCCATTTTTTTTATCCTTGGTTCAAGGTTAGTTTTTAGCATTACATTTACTTTTACTAGTTAAAATTTTATAATTGTTTTGTGTCATATTTTAAAATTTATTGTAAGCTTTTTGAAGGATTGCGTTGGAGCTATAGATGGAACTCATATTCCTGCACTAATACCCATGAAAGAACAACCGAGATATAGAAATCGTAAAGGAGTTCTTTCTCAAAATGTCCTTATTGTTGTAGATTTTGATATGAAATTTCAATACGTGCTTAGTGGTTGGGAAGGCTCTGCTTCGGGTTCTAGAGTGTTAAGAAATGTTGTTTGGGAAAGATCACAAAATAGATTGAAAATTCCGAATGGTAATTTACTAATAATTCAAATAGTGATATTATTTATTTTTCTAAAGAGTTCAAGATGATACTTGTAATTTTGTAGGAAAATATTACATTGTTGATGTAGGCTATGCAAATACAAAGGGTTTTCTAGCACCTTATCGTTGTGCACGATATCATTTGAGAGAATGGAGCCAAACACAAGCACCACAAAATGCTCGTGGGCTCTATAACTTGAGACATTCAAAACTTTGAAATGTCGTAGAGAGGACATTTGCTGTTTTGAAAAAAAGATTTCCTATATTAACGACTGCTCCTCCGTATTCCATCAAAAAACAAGGTTGGATTGTACTATCATGTTGCATACTTCATAATTTCATTCGTAAGTGGAATTGGCAAGATTCATATTTTGAAGAACACATGGAAGAGGAAATAGAAGATTCTCATGGTTTGAATGATATTGACTCTGATTCTGATTCTGATGAAGAAGACATTGGACGAGGACCGACAAATGCTGATAAACAATATATGTGCAATCTGAGAGATGAAATAGCTCAACAAATGTGGAATGCTAGAGCAATTAGGTGAATATCATAGATCGAATGATTCTCTTAGTTTTGTTGTGACTTGACTGTATAAAAAAGGTTATGTTGTAGCAAAAAATATAGTTCTAAGTACGTATGTACGCATATGCCATATAGATCAAGGATGTAAATCATGTGCAATACAAGTTGCCAACATTGTAAGAAATTGTCTTTTGCCAATTATCCTAGTCGTTGGACGGATTAGTTGGGAAAAGGAATGGGAGTAGTCTAGCTTGTGGATGGAGGTTACAAGGGACTTAAGTTCATATGTATTTGGAGTAGTCTGTTATCACAACTCATGAATGATAGAGCAACATTTCTTCGAATATTTTTGGTCTGATGTCATTCATGATGGCAAATCTTGTTAACTCCATATTTTTTTTTTGTTTCACTGCTACACCACTTGTATGTCACCCAAGTTATGTCATTATTGCAAGCACAACTATTATCACTGAGGGTGTAATCAGTTTCTTTTTGCCATCTCAAGCATAATTTTGATGTGTGATGCTGGAAAATCTAGGCTTGAAAAACTTCTGTATTCATTAATTAATTTAAGTAGAAATATTATTTACTTAAAATCTAATTTATTTTAAAATTTAACTGTGTAATTACATTGTGGCATCCAACCAGGACATGGGTAATTACAATGTAATTACATTGTGGCAACCAAACAGGCCAATGTAATTACTAGGCTGGTAATTACTACCCTAGTAATTACATCAATTCCAATTACCAGGTAGCTTTCCAAACAGACCCTTAGATAGTATTTCAACATTTTTCTTTTTCCCCTTTAAAATAGTTTCGACTACAAAATAGTTCAATTTTGCAAGTCGAGTTAAGTTAAAATTATTTTAGCCAAATAATTAATTGTCGGATAACCACATTAGTGGACATTCTAGGTGCTTTTAAAACCTTCCTAGACTGTTAATAAGAACCTCGAACCCTTTTTAAAGTTTTCACTAGATTTCTGTTTTAGTCTTTTGAAAACAACAGTTTTCTTAATTTTGCTTTAAAATTAAGCGGCGACTCTTAAACCAGTCTAAATTATATTTTCCGAATAAAACATCTAATATAACATTTTAAATTTTATTTGCAAATTATGTATCAATATGTATAGATACAAAACAAAAACAATCTTTAGCGATAATTAATTAACGATAATAGCTTAATTGCTGCTAAATGTGTATTTTTAGCGGCAATTAGCACTTCTTGATGTTACATTTTCATGAATGGTTAGCTACTTTCCAGGAAAGTCCAAGCGTAAATCTCTTGATGTTATATGTTCTCATCATTTGCGCGTTGTGATTTATTATGTCTTTATTAATTTGCATCTTTAAGAGCTTAATATGAATGAGTTTGATAGCAATATGCTTCGAGATCTCAGTTGTCAGCTTGATAATCTTATAGTTTATGCTTGTAATTCTGACTAGAGGTTCTTCAACTTGAAGGGAATTAGCGACTTTGCTAAAGTATTGGTGAAGTCAAAGCTGCATCAAACTTGGCTACTTGTTTATTTGCTTATCAAGTTGACTCTCATTCTTCGTGTTGCTATTGTTTCTGTGGAACGAACTTTTTTATCCATGAAGTACATCAAAAATGAACTTCGTAATAGTATAGGTGATGGATTTTTAAATGGTTGTGTAGTGCTCATTTCTTTAACATGAAATAAATGAGGGTGCTTGCGAGAGTGAGTTATTAGTTGTAATTGGTAAGAGAAGCTAGGGAAATTTTGACTTCATTTCTTAGAAATTCTTAGTTTTTCTAAGAAATGAAGAGTTTTTAACTATAGCGTTTAAATAGTTGTACAATTATACAATTATACAATGCGATTTATAGTAACTTTATAATAAGAGAAGTGAGCACCCACGAGCCTAAGATCCCGAATCCGCAACTAATTGGGGTAAAGAATTTCCTAACAAAGAGGACTTCGTATTCAAGGAATTCGAAACTGAGACTAGGGGTGTTCGTGGTTCGGTTTGGATCGGTTATTGGTTAAAACCAAAACCAAACCAATCTAGTCTGTTTTTTGCATTTCTAAAACCAAACCAAACGAAAAACACAACCATCAGTTTGGTTCGGTTTGGTTCAGTTTTTTAGGTTTTCTCGATATGAAAGTAATAAATTTTTTTAAGGACATCCTATCTCGATAGACACAAACACCTAGTAGATGAACAAACCACATGAAAGCTATTGTCGGTTCAATTAAGCAATACTAGAGTTATTATTACACGAACAAAGTGATTCAATTAAGGGAAAATGTGTCTATCTTATGTGAGGTAGGGTATGTAAAGACTAAAATAAAGGATTTTGATGGACTTGAACTTAGGATTGTAATAGTTGGGCAAAGATTTAAGTGTTGGGCTTGAGAAAATGGTAAAGTTAAAGACTTAATTTAATTAAAATTTAACAAAATATTTATATTTTATTTGTGAATTATATATAAATAATTATAAAATTTATATATTTAATTTATCGGTTCGGTTTAGTTATTTTTTTAGTAAAACCATAACCAAACCAAACAATATTGGTTTTCAAAATTTAAAACCAAACCTAACCAAACCAAACCAAATATCAATTTTTTAATCAGTTTGGTTCAAATTGCATATCGATTTGATTTTTTAACCATAACTAGGAACATCCCTAACCTAGACCTCTTAGTTAAGGTTGAATAGAGATGGTAATGGGGTAGGACGAATGCAAGGCGGGATGTCAGTTTAAGGCTATGCGGGGCGGGGTGAATTTAAGGTTGTGCGGGGCGGGTGGGATGCGAGATGGGTTGAAGTGGGTTTTTTTAAAATTAATGCGGGGCGGGGCGGGGGGGGGGGGGGAGTATATGTGATTTATGTGGGTTCAAACTTAATTTTAACTTTTTACTTGTTATAAGAATGATAGGGAGTTATTTATTAAGATAATTAATTAAAGCTACTAAAATATTCAAGATCGTAAATGAAAATGGTTCAATAAAAAATAATACAATTTCTTATATGTTACCCAATTGACCTCTAAAAAATAAATTTTTATTTCACTATATCCTATTAAATTAATACAACTTAATGAAAATGGATTTATTTGTATGAATTTTATTTTTAGTATCGAATTTAACTAGAAAAAGAAAATATTATAAAATTATGCGGGACGGGGTGGATTAAAAATTTTGCGGGTTAAGCTCGCCCCGCCCCGCTTGTTAAATTAGGTCTTAAGCCTAACTCACATCCCAAAAGCTAGCTCAAAGGGAAGATGATTGCCCAAGCCTTAAGAGGAGTCCACCCATCTCATTAACCACGTGTGGGACTTTTTGCAACACCGGCCCTGCACCACTCCATTGTTATCCCTAAGGATGAAGGAGTATTTATCGCTCCACCACAATCCTTGTTGGTAATTATTATTTTGAGATCGACTAGCTCTCCATCACAAATTGATGCATGTGGAGAACTTTCATCACAAATTAAATATTTATTTTGCAAAAAAGATTCTTTAAGAGTTAAGACTACACAATACTCTATGTTTTTAGTTCAGATCTGTTTTTGAAATTGCAACATAATATTATATTTGTTTATATTACATACATGTGAAAAAATATATAAATATTAATAAATAAGATGAATAGTTAATTAAAATAAGATGAAGAGTTAATTATTACTCCACCTAGCTCATTATATATTATTTTGTAAAAGATTCTTTAAGACTAAACAATACTATATGTTTTAGTTTAGATCTGTTATTGAAATTGTATCATAGTATTATATTCGTTCACATTATCTGCATGTGAAATATTAATATTAAATAAGATGAAGGGTTAATTATTGGTCCACCTTGATATTAAATATTCAATTTATTAAAAAAATAATAAGATGGATTAGAGGTATCAATTAAGACACCATTTAAGACAAGAGGGTGGTCGTATATATCCCATATTGTAAACGTGGTTTTAGAAGAGGTACAAATTTCAATAATTGATTCTTTGTTCTGTTAAGGTAAAGTGCTCTCTAACAAAGGGGACTTCGTTTTCAAGAGAATTCAAATCTAAGACCTCTTACTTAAGGATGAAGGAGTACTTACCGCTCCACCATAATCCTTATTGGTAATTATTATTTTGAGATCAGCTAGCTCTACCGATCATTATAGATTATATCGTGATTGTCGTCCATAATTGACATTATTTAACCCATTTTAATCTAACCTATTTCAGCCAAAGTAATATTTAAGCGGATAAATGACCATACATTTAATTTAATAAGTTAACTCATTTTAATTCGTACAAATTCAGTTCAACCCACCTATTTGATACCCTTAATACAAACCTATCTCAATTGATATCGTGTACAAGTTAAAACTACTTCAAACAAGAATTTAATATTTGATTTTAAAAAAAAGATTCAATCTTCACTTAAGGACGTGTTAAATACATAATTAAATTTATAAATATGCTCTAAATTTCAAGCAACCAAAATCATGTCCACAACATCTTATTAATAAGCAACTTAAGAATAGAGAAACTCTTGGAAGGGTGCGCTAGCTCTTCCCCCTCCATTGAGTCCTATGATGTGGTGAATCCAAACTAGTTGAGCTAGTAAATTTTGAGTATTGAATGGTTATGAAAACAATAACAATAAAAAGTATGTTATTTAACCTCAAACAAGTTAAATCGATCGTAGGAATCGTCACTTTTTCATTTAATCTTAACTCGCATCATCATCATTATATATATATGTATATAAACAAACAAACAATTGAGTCTGTCATTATTTTCATGAAAAAAAAATGAGCTTGAAGAGTAACTATTGCTTAAAGGTTTTACTTATCGATTATCGACTTTTTAATGTACTAATATACTAACCAACGGATAAGATATTGTGATTAGTTGATATCAAATTATGAATTATCAGGCGGCGTACTATTAGTTAATTATCATTTTAATCAAAGAAAAGTAAAATCACAACAAATAGTCCAACTTCCACCAACAAAATTAAAAGGGAAAAAAGTTTGAAATATATCTGAATTTTG